TGATGCATTCTCTTTTTTGGTACAAGGAAATGCACATAATTTTGTTGTAATTAATGAAAATGATCCTAAGAATGTTAGTGATGCTTTGGAGCGTACTGATAAAAATTTGTGGAAGCATGCTATGAATGAGGAAATTGAGGCTTTATCCAGTAATGAAACTTGGGAGTTAGTGCATCGTCCGAATCACAAGAATGTGGTGAAAAGTAAATGGGTTTTCAAGACTAAAAATAGCATAGATGGGTCAATTCGCCATAAGGCAAGGCTTGTTGCTAGAGGTTTCTCTCAAATATATGGTGAGGATTTTCTTGACACATTTGCTCCTGTTATAAGGCTCACATCTCTTCGTGTATTGTTTGGTCTTGCTGCTCAGCTAAACTTAGAAATGGACCATGTGGATATCACCACAGCATTCCTAAATGGGGATTTAAGTGAGGATATCTACATGGAACAGCCTGAAGGTTTTGTCAAGAAAGGATCTGAAAATATGGTTTGTAAACTTAAGAAGGCAATCTATGGTCTTAAGCAAGCAGCTCGTTCATGGAATACGAAAATTCATTCATGTTTATTGAAGTTTGGTTTTGCAAGGTCAAAGCATGATCCCTGTGTGTATGTAAAGAAACTAAATGATGATTTAATTGTGATTGGACTTCATGTTGATGATTTTTTCATATTTGCCAGTAATAAATGTGAAACAGAGCTCCTCAAACGAAAATTAGGTGAATGTTTCAAAATGAAGGATTTAGGGGAATTGAAAGAGTGTCTGGGAATTAAAGTGACTAGGGATAGAGTGGCTGGTACGATTAAACTCAATCAATCGCTTTATGCAACAAAAGTTATTGTGAATCATGGTATGGAAGGTTGTAAACCAATGGGTTCACCTATGGATGTTAATTTGAAACTTAAAAGGGATGAAACTAGTAAAAACAATCCTGAATATCAACAAATAATTGGATCTTTAATGTATCTATCTATTTGTACAAGACCTGATATAAGTTATCCTATAAGTTACCTCAGTCAGTTCAATAACTGTCATGGACAAGAACACTTTGTAGCTCTTAAAAGAGTTCTCCGATACTTAAAGGGAACACTAGATTATTCCTTATGTTTTTCTAAAGGTCAAGGTAAGCTTGTTGCATATGCAGATGCAGGACGTGGAGATATTCTAGCTGATAGTCGCTCATATTCTGGTTGTATTGTAACTTTTGAAAATGGTCCAGTAAATTGGATAGCTAAAAAACAGAGCCATGTTTCGATGAGTTCAACAGAAGCAGAATATGTTGCTATATGTGAAGCATCCAGAGATGTTGTATACATTAAAGGATTAATTGCAGAATTGTACAAAGATTTAGGAAACATCACTATATTTAATGATAATCAAGGTGCAGGCAAACTCGTAGAAAATCATATGTTCCACAGTCGTTCAAAGCATTTTGCATCTAGATATCATTATGTGAGAGAGTTAACTGAACTTGGGGAAATAAATGTTAAGTACAAACCTGGTACTGAAATGCCTGCAGATATGCTCACAAAGCCTCTTCCAAAGGCTAAATTGTTTGACTGTGTAAGATTAATGAAATTAGTTGATTGAATATAATGTTGCTCATATTATTTAATTAGATTATAAGTGAGGGTGTTACAATTGTTTGAATTTCATGTGTATAATCTAATTGTATGTTAAGTTGGCAACATGATATGTATGACGTTGATACTGACTGTTTGTCAATTGTCATTCTTTCTATGATACTTGTCATATGTTCCGTGTGTCTGTGTATCATAAAGTATTGTATCCATGAACTCTATCAAGATCATGTCTCTTATCTCTTATCTAATACCTCGTGCTAATTAAATATTAGTTAATAATTAAAAACTCATTTTATTATTGATTATCATAAACCAAACATATTCGGCCTCCTTTTCCGAAGTTAGAGTAGAATTTATGTGGCAAGTGTTGGTGGGATTGGAGTTTATTAGCGTTGCATCGTCTGCGAATAGAATGCAAGTTTTGGGTTCCATGTGATAGAGAAAATCGTTGATATAGATGATAAATAAAAGTGGCCCCAAGACAGAGCCTTGGGGTACACCATGATTTATATCTTCGAGATCAGAGGTTTTCCCATTTAGGCTAACACATTGTTTCCGATTTGTCAAATACGTGAACAACAAATCCAATGGTTTCCCCCTGATGCCATAGCGTCGTAATTTATCAATCAGTAATTCGTGGTTAACACAGTCGAAGGCCTTGCTGAGATCGCACAAACTTAAAGAAGTTCGGCGACCGCCCTCAAAGCCCTCAACAATGTTGTGTATTACCCTCGAAATTGCCTGAATAGTGGATTGGTTTTTACGAAATCCATACTGGTTCTCATGTAAAATTTCGAATTTATCAAAGTAGGTTGACAAGCGATTTTTTAAGATAATTTCAAAAATTTTTCCGAGGAACGGAATCACAGATATGGGGCGAAAATTTCCAGGATCGTTCAAATCGCCAGATTTATGAATTGGAACAACTTTACTGTATTTGAAGATATCAGGAAATACTCCTCCAACTATGCACATATTGTAGAGATCAGTTAGAGGCGTTGGCAATAGATCAATTGAGTGTTTCAATAGTTTGGTATTTATCTGAAATATGTCCATGGAAAGTGAGTTCTTTAGGGATGTAGCTGCAGCAATTACATTCTGACTCAATATGGGCTCAAGAAAGAACGAATCAAGTGTCGTTGGCATTTTTCGAAATAATTTGTCGAGATCGAGGTCATAGTCTGGTAAAGTTTCGATTATCGCTTCGGCTACATTTGAGAAGAAACTATTGAATTCATCTACATCGATAGAACTCTGAACGGCTTCTTTACGAGAATGATTCCTTCCATAATTTATTAATTTCCAAGAATCCCTAATTCTGTTATTTGAATTCAATAAATAATTATTATAAGCATGTTTTTTTGTCTCTGTTATTCTTTCTCTGTATTGGGTTCTCAATATTTTATATACATCATAATCTTTAGGATCATTTGTTACATCACATATAACTTTAACGGATTCCAATGTTTTTCTCATGGTTTTCAATTCCTCGTTGAACCATTTAACTGGTTCATAATTTTTTGATTTACAGTTCTTTATTGGGAATGAGCTTCCTATTAGGGACTTCAGAGTATACGTGAAACTTTCGGCATGTTTGTTAATATCGTATGTGCTCAGTTCAACACCTTCGAAGTTTAAATTCCACTCGACATTAGATAATTCGTTTCTGAATCTAGCGATACCTGCATTTGTTATTAGAGAGTTGAAGTGTTGTCATGAACGTTAACGTAAACGTAGAAATTGACAGCTACGCATGCGCATTTTCCAATTCTTCACGTTTGCGTTGTTAGTGGGCTTACGGGTGTACGTCATGTTATCTCCATATATCTCACGTACCTTCACGTATACCTTAAATATCAACGTACGTTAACCAAACTATACTCGAAATATGCCGATGAGTCAAAATTATCAAATTTGGGATCCCCAACGAGTTCTGCATCAAGGAGTCCTCTCATTTTGACAGGAATCAATGTTCGAATCTGAACACACAACCAAAAATGACCAATACAAACCGAAAACAAAATGTATTATTACGTTATGATGACAGTGACGACTTACACTCAATTTAACGACAATACGTAAACGTTATTTCTCGTAACTTAACGTCTATGTGGAGGTCTACATAGTACATACAGTGATTACTTCAACTCTCTATTATCCTTTTCATCTGTACAGAACATGATGTTGAAGGAAGAGAATTTTTCAAGTTAATAAATTGCCCCTTATGATCAGATAAGACACGGCTCTACGATGCCTGTGACCTAATCATTTTGACTGATATTGGTGAGAATATTATCTAGACAACTGGGTTTATTTCCAGGAGTTACCCTTGTTATAAAAAGAGCTAGGATATGTTTGCAGCAGAGTGTCGAGGTTTTAATTATCATCTTTCCATTCGATTTCAATCGTGTTATATTAATAAAATCTAATCATATACATTTTTTATTGAATCGTTTTATTTTTTGTCATATCTTCGTAGTCGTTTGAAAAAATCCCATCAAACCCGGCATTGTTGAATTTGTAATAATGAACTCTACTTGAATATGGAATAATATACTGGGTGTCCCTATTCAAATAGAAAAGTTTAGGTGCAGTTTGGTGTGACCCTGTATACCTACGATTCATTCAATAGCATATTTCGAGTGAGCATCATCAAATATACTGGGTGACCGAATTTCAAGTCATTCGATTGCGCGGTTGATTTTTCACAGGGGGGGGGACATTTTAGCTGGGACACGGTGTATATGTTATTAATTTTCAATATCTACAGTTTTTATGTCAAATTATATTGAATGCAATCAAAGTATTTATTGTTATTAAATAATACTTACTGGATTATTCAACATAATGTAAAAATTATGTTTCAATAATTGCGGTTTATTTTATATAAAATAATATTAGCCAATCAAATCATATATTATTTATTGTATTGAATCAGACCTACTGAATGATTCAACTCTATATAAAACTTATGTATTTAATTATTAATCCTCAACAAATATCAAATATTCACGATTCGATTTAGAAATTTATTAGAGAGAAACCGAACACGAACTAATCTACGGATTTCAGTGTATCTACTCGCTCTATTTATTTCCATATCATTTCAACTATTCGTGAAAAAACCTGTTTGTTTATATTGGAAATAAATTATTATTATTATTATTATTATTATTATTATTATTATTATTATTATTACGTCAACAAATTAGAAATTTTCGTTTTCTTCTAATAATTCAAAAACTAAAAATGACACATCAAATATTCTGGCAAATAAATGTTCAGCATAAAAATGCGCAACTTTGTCCTAATTTAACCGACCTCGTATCTCTTATAATAACTGAGATCCCCATGGTGGAGCTCGAAAACGGACACCCTGTAGAGAGGAATGAAAATTTGAATTTTGGGCTCATACCAACCTGACGACGAGGCTAGCGAACGTGTTGTTGTTGACCAGGGCGCTCCTCAGATCGGTCAGCTGGCCGGGGTTCAGGTTGCCGCACGACTCGTAGATGTGGCACGTGATGAGGAAATCCAAGATGGCGTCGCCGAGGAACTCGAGCTTCTCGTAGGAGAGCGTGATCCGGTTCGGGGTGTACGAGGCATGCGTCAGAGCCTGAGAACAAGCATTTAGGTGATTTTTTCATTAACTTTTGATTTATTCCAACCACAAAATAGTCGAAATGCTCAAAAGTAGAATGAAATATTAAAAATCAATGAAAACCACCCAGAAGTCATTTCATTTCCACGAAATATTCTTCGAGCATTAAATTTCTTGGACTATTCAATGAACAATTGATTTGGTGTGAACACGTCAATTTCTCAAGAAACAAAGCATCAGCTGTATTAGGCGTATTAAAGAAGAGGCTTAGTTGTTTTGTACCTGGAAAATACTTGAAGTCCATTTATTTATTTTTTAATCCACTCTCATTTGCGATATTCAAGTGTAATATGGTACCCAACCCATGAATATATCCTGAGAGTGCAAAATTTATCAATAAAATACATATTTTCACTACCAAGGAGGTATTCAACAAACGAACTATATAAAAAATACTAATTGATGGCCCTCTGTAGTATTTATAAATAATTCTAAACACATGAATACTAGATTCACAAAAAGAAGTGAGTTTCATGATCATAACACTAGAAACAAAAATGATTTGAACATACTTAGATTTCACTCCAATTATGGTCAAAACTCGTTGCTCGTCAGGGGAGTGGATTTCTATAATAAACTACCAGAAGATCTTCAGTTACTCAACCCCTCAAGGTTCAAAATACAGTTAAAGTACTATTTAAAAGAAAATAGTGTACGAGCTAGAGAAATGAAGCAAATTATTTGTCGTACACTCTCAAGTTTAGCTGGTTTCAATAACGAGTTGATCCAGTCATGTGCGATATTGTTACAAGGGGGTTGAATCCCTTACCCTTACCCTAACTTATGGTTCTTCCGTGGAATTATGTTGTGACGGGCCGGCCGGCACTCTGGGTATGGGATGAATGGTCTTCCCTCAGGAACTATCTGGTACCACTCGCGTCACGAGAGATAACTAATCCTTAATTGGACACTTAATGTTCCATTAACGTCTGGAGGACGGATATTTTGTTATTGTTGAGAAAATTGTACTTGGAAAGATCCAAGGCGATCGAATCGAATGTCGGATTCGATGTACGAAAAGTTCTGATTCTTTTATCCGCGGTGGCCACTTGGAAGCGCTGCATGTAAAACCTTAAAGACCTGATGCGCGAATTCAATTTTGAGATATACAGTGAGCCAAACACGGATAGCAGATAATTCATTATTATTTTAAGTTTACATAAAAGGGTATAACAAAGGAGATGGACGGAACAGATATAATATCTATTTGAATATGTTAAAATATGTATATTTTTTATTGTTTTTATATGTATATTTCTCATCTTCATGTTCATGTGTTTGTGATTATTGAAATTTACTTAGTTGTAGGATGTACCTAAATAGAATGTCTCCTTGGTGCGTAAATAAATTGAAAAAAGGAGAATGTTCAATAAAATAAACAAGAACAATGAAAGATGACGACAGGAAAACAACTCATCACAAATGTATACTCTAGCCTCTAATAATGAATTATAACAGAATCGTTAAGGGAAGGTTTGAAATATACGTGATGACACTGAACAAAAATAATATGACTGTTGTTATATAATTTCCATTTTGGATCGAAATACAGGACGTCAAAGTTTGAAATAAGTGCTAAATAATATATCGATATATGGTTAACTTAATGAATGAAAATGAGGTTGAGATTGTCATTCAAAAGGCCTTCCTATAGGATGTAGCCAAATTCAGCGTCTTTCTTCCTAAGCTGTAAGTGATAAATAATAATTCAAACGCATGGAGATTTTCCCATACGATCCTGATACACTGAAGGTTTGACATGTGATTCATCTGTGATTCCATGAATATTTCCGATGTTTCCATAACCAATAACTGTTCAAGTCATGATATTATCAGCAAATTATCGTTTCCTGAACCGATTTAAATAAAAACAAGTGGATACGAATGCACAAATACCAAAATAGACATTACAAAAACAAACAAGCTAAATCAGCTGATATGTCTTACGTCAAAAGATATAATCACACCGAATGTTCACCACTCCGCTGAGTCTGCCATGTTCTGTTAACGTTTTTTTCGTCGACCTCTACAAAAAATCACATTTAACTTTCTAGATTTCGAACGAAACACCGACTATCTCCGAAGAAAAGTACTTTTCGTCCGCAAACACTTTTCGTCCGATGCAGAGTTGCTAGTTCTAATGAATTTTCAGTAGATTTCTTGATTTGCATACAGGGTTTGTCAGGACGAGCTTACACTATCTTTATATCGAGAATCAGTCGAGAGAAAGCCATGAGAATGTGTATGCTTATATTTTAGAATACGTTTTCTTCATTTAAAATATTTTCGACAATGCAGTGTTGCCTTTTCTACTGGCAAGTAGTAGCAACATTGATATTTCAAATAGAACACCCTGTATTATATCGCATTTTTAAATGCTCCCTGAAGAGCTGATTTTGTCGATGTATCACACTTAGGGTCTATCGAAAGAGATTACAGAGACATAGGGTGTTCAAAATCGAGATTTTTCAATTTTAGGATTTTTTTGTGTCGAAACTATTCATTATCGGCCAAAACGGCTCACATGTCCCTATTTCAACTTTTGATTCACTATTTACTGATATTTAATCGGAACAGATACAGGGTGGTTCAAGATTCAGAATTCTGATCACCCTGTATCTGATCCGCTTAAATATCAGTAAATAGTGAATCAAAAGTTGAGATAGGAAAATGTGAGCCGTATTGGCCGATGAATAGTTTCGACAGAAACAAATCCTTAAGTTGAAAAATCTCGATTTTAAACACCCTATATCTCTGTAATCATTTCCTATAAACCCCAAGTTTGAAGTATCGATGAAATCAGCTCTTCAGGAAGAATAGATGGAATCAGCTCTTTAGGAAGAATCTAAAAATTCAATGATATACAGGGTATTCTATTTGAAATAGGAAAGTTGTTGCTACTTTTCGTTAGAAGCGGCAATACTGCATTTCTGAAATTATTTTAAATGAAGAGAACATATTGTAAAATATAATCATAATACATAACTATAACGTAAGAAATCAAAATAATATACACCTTCCAAATATTCTTACAAATGTTGCACTAAATAATCCTATGAATAGGTGCATACATGTATATAATTCAATACCACAAGCATTTAAGGAAATACCAAATGAAAAGTTATTCGTTAAGGAAATTAGAAAGTACCTGAAAAATTCAACTGTATAAAAATCAATATTGATTCTATGAATTACTATATTTCCATTGTACATATAGGACAGAATGTTACTTATTAGTTATATTCCCCGTTACCAGTATTTTCTACTGCTTAGGGGTTTTCTTGAATTGGGACTATGCAATGTATAGATTATGAAAGTTGAAAATGTGTAAAAGTATTGTATGTATTTATACCACATTGTAATCAAATCCTGATTAAAGATATATTGCTTTAAAAAAAATCATGCATATTTTCACGTATTTCTCCCGACTGATTCTCGATATATAGATATACCCTGTATATTGATCTACTGATCTACCGGAACCTTTCACAGTGTACTGAAAAATATTCTGGTACTTACTTATTATTATAGTTACCTACATTATTATCAATCTTTAGTAAATCACATTGCATGATATTTCGGCACGCTCTGTTTAAGTTGAATTTACAAAATGGGTAATAAATGTACATACATATATATATATAGATACTAATGATGTGTATACACTAAAAAAGGACAATACTTTTATCTGATTCAGACCGATTTCAAATTTAATATACCTCTGTTATAGGTGTTACGTTTGATTTTTTTATTTGTTTTGTATTTGGGTTGTTTATTTTTACTATTCGTTCCTGTTTTATATATACTCAAATCTTATAAGTACATATGTAACTGTATTTTGTGATATTTGTGAGTATTTTCAAATTGAGAATTAGGATTAGAACTAGAATAGGAATTTTTGTTTTGTTTATTTCTATTTTGATGGAAATATGTTACTGTTCTGTTTATACTAAAAGTCCATGTTTTGACGTCATCGGTTCATTTCATTATCCTTTCATGGAATTCGTATAGCATAAAATAGATCTGAATTTTTGACAAAGTAATCACTGATGTGATGAAAATCGAACTGGCAATCCTGGTCCACGCAGAGAGTGAGTTGACAACAACTGTTATTTGCTGTTGCCAAATCAATTATTCACGAAATCCGATTGATTCCACGTGTGAATATATGACCGTGATGTGAATGTAAGTGTTTTGAGGTCGACGAAAAAATGTAATATGCACCTCGGCGAATAACTGCCTATATTGTCTCGTCTGATTGCTAGCCTCGGCTATCAATTTGCCGACTCGACTATAATATACAGGGTTTCGTCCTTGGTACATAAATAACTATTTCAAATAAGTTCAACTTATTGAGTTGAGAACTAATTACCATTCGACTCTGGGTTTTAGTTCTGTGAACATGAGAAATATTTGTTTACAAACGTGACAGAAAGGTGAATCTTGGCAGGAATTTGACAAATCTTTAGGATTCGGATGAAAAAAAGAATAACTCAGTTCGAAATAGAGGTCACTGGCTCATTGAAAGCAGACAATATTTTTCCTTGAACCCATCCAGACAAGGTTAACTTGATGACGTCACGGTTTACTGGTGAAGCTGTTTCATTTTTCGGTTTCAGAAGTCATACTTATATATTGAATAAGAAATTCCTCATCTGTATCAAAAATATATAATAGAAAGAAACTAAGAACTTATCTACTTCAAATTCAAGAAAATTGGAACACTTCGCTAAGTACATACGTACAATTATTTTCACAACTACTCCGTGAACTACCTCAGTGAGCTGGGTTGTGTGGTTGATTAACTACTACGAATGGTTTAACTTAGAGTTCGGACACAGCTGAACTTCTGTCCTTTTCTATTTTCTATATTACAAATAAATAAATAAGACATTCATTCTGCTCTTTGTCTTTTCAATGTCCCTAATTCCGCCTGTTTGTCAGATAGGATTTCA